TGTGGCTTACATTAACTCAGTTTGATTGTGTAAATGATTGTTCTCAAGATTGTGATTTATGTACCTTTTACCAAGAGGGCAGGAATAAGTTAGTGCTAAACAAAGCGAGTTGTTAGATACTGACCCTCACCAAGTGGACCTAGTTTATGTGATACGAAGACATAAAGTATGAGTAACAGAAACAAGAACAAGACAGTTGAAGTACTAATAAAAGTAGATGGAACATAATCAGCACTTCCTGAACTGAAGGCCTTGTAGGAGTTTTATATTCTATTTTATAAGTTCCCAGAGTTAATATATTGAGTTCTCACATACATCTGATACTGAGCTAATCCCAGCCAATGTTGTGGAAACACCCAGTTTCTTCCCTAATTCACTTATCTACCCTCATTTGAAAAGGCTTAAAATTCCCCAGTCCAGTATGGGGCCCTCCTATTGTAGGCCTACCCTACTTGAATGTACCTGATGGACTGAGACGGGTGTAGAAATTGCAGCCAGAAATTAACCCGGTTTCTGTCACTGACAGTGTGTGTCTGCCAATGTGGCATTCGGTTGTGTGTTGTGAGGGTGTCGGGTTAGGGGTTAGTGTTGTGAGGAGGCTGGAGGTCATCATCCTTGCTTTCAAAGTGCTTATAAATAGGACCAGCAGAGCTCTTGGTTCAGAGGGTGCTGTCTTGCACCTCTTCATCATACAGTGGCTTCTGTATCACACGATAAAAAATGAAAGAAAATGTATAAATCAACAGCATATTTATTCTGAAAGCACAAATGTTTTCCAGCTTCAAGATCCCAAGAGTTTCTCCAATTATAAATACTCAGTCTTTATTAATATAAGCAGGGGATAAATTACTTCTTGCAATCCAGACATTGCTCCAGAGAGAAATACTGGGAATTTCCAATTTACATAAAAGTTGTTTTCCAGAAGTTTACTTTCACATCATTTATTTTGAGCTTGGGCTGCAGTTCCCCAGAGAAAAAGTGATATGTAGTAATAATAAGCTAACATTTTAATAAACCTTTTTTTTTTCTTGCTTATTGAGCACTTTGCAGAGAATGAGTGCAAGGCTTTCTATTTCTAGCCAACCAGCCCTTTCATATCGAGGTTCTGCCCTTAGACAAATTACTTGATCTCACTGATGTATGGGGAGATTTTTAAATGGGGATGAAAATACCAACCTCCCAGGATTGTTGAAAATGAGGCAAGCCAGTGCCAGGTGTATGACTCGTGCTGTCTCTCATTTCCTGCCCCTGCTGTGGTTTTATGAGTACAAGAAGGACCACCACTTGTGGTGGGAACAGAGAAAGAGGAAAATCCCCTTGCACGAAGTAGGACATTATCTCCATTTTTTTAGGGTTCATTTTGTACAGTAACCCTAGCTGATGTGCTTCTCTCCTGCCGTGGAATGTTTCTTGAGCTCACGCTATGAACCAGGCACTGTTAATCACTAACTGTTAGTGACCCCACAGTTAGTAGCTGGTGGAGCTCGGTTCCCAGTCAGTGCCATCCAACTTGAGTCTAGCCTTACTGTCCTGTACCACACTGTCCCTTGGTTGGTTACGTTTTTCCAAGGCTGCTTTAATCTAGTGGCAAGACAGATTACTGACGTGGAACGTAAACTGGTTCTGCAACTCTCTCTATCCCTGTCAGATCTAAACCTTTGCCCCATCCAATTGTCTGTAAAATAGTTCTAGTTAAAATCTGTGTCCAAACGATTGGTGTGAGGGGAGGAAGGCTCTTGATTTTCTGTAACATAAGGTTAGTATATTCCCTTTCTGAGCTGCCAAGATCTCATCTTTGTACCATTTCACCGTAAAAAGAATCAAGTTTGAAGTCAGATATCCTTAAATGTATTCTCAAATATGTAAAAATTTAAAACCTTGATGATTCCAATCCTTAAGGCCCTCATGCTCTGGCTGTGTGGAGGCATGAGTGGAGAAAGTTCTTGGGAAGATGACCACAGAATTTTTTTTTTTTTTTTAAATCACATTGGAAGTGGTGAGGGTGCTTCCATGTTGACATGCCTGGTGCGGTTAAAGAAACCGGACACAGACACAGATCTAACCTGGCTCCACAGGTAACATGCTCTGTGACCTTGAGCGTGTTGCTTGAAGTTTCCCCATTTATAAATGGGCTGTGACAGGTGTGTAACAAAAAGTCCAGACATCTCATTTCCTTAAGTATTGAAGCCTTTAGAATTGAAGGAGGGGTAAGAGTAGGAAATTTCTTAGAGTTTTTGAACTGGGGTTGTAGTGGAGGGAAAAAGGCTGGGGGTGGTGGTTGATGGAGTAGTTGTGCAAAACCAGAGACTTTAATATGCTGATCAAAGTATCGTCCTTGCGACTAGGGCTGTCCAGACGCCATAACTTTTCAGCCTTGACACAGTATTTCCAAGAGGTTCAATGCAGTTTCATTTCCAGAAAAAAGACAGCAGGAAAAAATGGGGAAACCAGAAAAGTGAGGAATTTTTGTAACATTTAAGCAATTTCCAAAGGCTTTTCTGGTACCTTTCATTCCCTTTGCCTTTTTAATCTCTGTGAAAATGAACTTTTATAAAAATAATGTAACGACGGAAAAAATGACTTAGAATTGTGCATTTCATCATCTCAGAATCCAGGTGTCAGATCCATTTAACTCAAGTATTCTTTAAAATATTATGATTTGCCAAAAATCAAGCCAGACACTTCATGATTCAAAATAACTGTTTTACTCTCCCTTCCCACCTCTCCAGTTCTCTGCATATTTCATTCTTCACCCAGTGCAAAATGGGCAAGTAGAAACCCTAGCAAAGTTCTTCACTGCAATATCTACTAGTAACTAAATCACTAGAATGCCTGTTCATTTCTTGTGAAATGCTACATTAAAACTTTCTTGAACTGTCACTTATTATGAAAAGTAGCATCTCAGCAGCTTTAAGCCCACATGGGTTAACAAACTTGGTGGTGGTTCTTAATGGCCAGATGAGTAGGCTTGACCCCGGGAGAGTTAGAATACAGCGGTGGTCTGGGCTTGCCTGCCCTGGCTTCTTTGAAGACTGGCTTCTCAGGAGCCACTCGCTAATCTTGGGGCAGAGGAGTCCTCGCAACACATACAGGGAATGACATGAGTCTGCAGCAACCTTGCCAGAGCCACTAAACATAGCTATTTGCTGATGCCAGGCCTAGCTCAAAATACCTTAAAACACAGCTAAGGCCATGGTGAGCCCAGCTGGCCAGAGTAGGGGGGCAGTGCCTCTGAGGAGGGCTGCCCAGACCACTCCCAACCCAGGTACACAGGTGCCCTGAATGTTCATGATGAACATTCAAGGACTAGGATGCATAGGTAGGAAATAAGGTGATAGAACAGGCAGGAAGCTCGGAAAGGAGCATTTGGGGATTCAGGATGAAAGTGCTAGATGATGGGTTTTAGAGCTGTGTTGGGTGGTTTTTATGAATTCTATTCCGGGGCCAGTTCTAAATACACAAATGCAGGAGCACATGTGCTGGACAGTGGACCCAAACCACACTGACATCTGGAACTTCAGCATCTGGTGAATCCTACCAGTGGCATGGCTGCTTTTTAAAACGCTCCAGTTGAGTTCCATAGGACTGACCCCACAAAAGTTCTTTATTGAAATCTTTGATGCTCTGCACAGATTAAGCATATAGAGCCATCTACATACTCTATATACATAATAGAACCATCTAGTTTATACTTTTTGGTTCCCAAGAAAGCATTTCTTGTTCTTTTTGTGGATTTAAGTGTAATTACTTTACTGGATAGTTATAGAAGGGGATGGAAGACACAGCATGTTCCTACATACTTGCTAAGAGAGCTAAATCTTTTTGTTTTTTTGTGGGGTTTTTTAATTTTTTTTTTTTTTTTTTACTTTGATCAGCAGCTTCAATTCCTTTCCTTGCTTTGAGTTTCTAAAAGCTTGATTTTGGAAATTAAATACTTATGGATAAGGGAGTTTTGGGGGTTTTTATTTTTGAGTTTTAAAAGGGTTAAAGTTAGTAGGGCTTTGCCTATTCATGGCTGATCTAGCTGCTTGTTGTAGTGCCACCTTCTGTTGAAGTTTCTTTTGACAGGCATTGGTCACTGAATAAAGGAAACTATCTTGGATGTAAAATTCAGCTAACCAGGAAAGTTTGATTGAGTAAAACAGTAAGCAGCTAGCAATTAGCTAAAAACTAACTCTTAACTTTTGTAAAAATTAAAATTCAAACTATCTCTTCTCAATGGAAAGTACTGGGGGAATTAAAACTGCATTATTATTATTATTATTATTATTATTATTATTATAAAATTGTTATTGCTTATTGAACACCTACATACTAAAGATAGGTGTCATTTGTGTATTTTAGACATGTTACAAAATATCAGTGTGTATTAAGGTTTGCATAAATAATTGGCAATTCAGGGTTTACTACTAAAATTTTGGTGACAGTAAATTCTGTGTGTGTTTTTGTAGGCAACAAATGCAAAAATTAAAGTAGATATTCCCCCCAAAATCACTCTGTGATATTTACTGAATGCAGAGTTGACAGCCCGAAAGTAGGCAAATTGGACTACCTAGATCTTCCAAAAATAGCTTGTCTTTTCTTTTAACTTTCTCATTATGACAGACTTCTCTTCCAAAAATTTGACAAATGAGAGAACTGAGAACTCATGTCAAAAGTTTTTCTCTTCATATTTCTGGTTCTGTTAAAATGAAATATGGTTCCTGGAAGTCAGACAAAATTTCCATCACTGGATTTTGTAAACTGATTTGGATCAGTTTGGTAAAACTTAAATTAGACCTTGCGATAACTGATTCTACTGAATTGGCTTAGCGCTTGGTCCAGAATTAATGACGGGCAACACAACTTGTGCCTTACTCAGACCAGGTCGTAGTTTGGAGCTGGCGTACGTCGGAAGTTCCGTCCACAGGTAAACCTTACTGCCCCAAATGAACATTCCTTCTAGTTCCCTCTCTGAAGGTGTCGCTTTTCTCTCTCTCTCTCTCTCCCGCTCTCTCCAGGGACCCTCTGAAAATCCAGCAACTCCAGAACCAAATCCGACTGGAGCAGGAGGCCAGTGCACGGCACCCCCCGCCCGCCGGCGCCCCGCGCAGCGCGCCCCCCTCGCCGCCCTTCCCGCCGCCGCCCGCCTCCCCAGAGCTCGCGGCCTGCGCGTCGCCCGCCTCTGCGGAGCCCATGAGCGCACTCGCCTCGCGCTCCGCGCCCGCCATGCAGTCCACCGGCTCCTTCAACTATGCGCGCCCCAAGCAGTTCATCGCGGCACAGAACCTCGGCCCCGCGTCGGGCCACGGAACGCCGGCCTCCAGCCCCAGCTCCTCCAGCCTCCCGTCGCCCATGTCCCCGACCCTAAAGCAGTTCGGCCGTGCGCCCGCGCCGCCCTTCGCGCAGCCCTTCGGCGCCGAGGCCGAGGCTCCGTGGTGCCCGTCCTCGCCGTCGCCCCCGCCGCCGCCACCCCCGGTCTTCAGCCCCACGACGGCCTTCCCGGTGCCCGACGTGTTCCCGCTGCCGCCACCGCCACCACCGCTCCCCAGCGCGGCCCCGGCCGCCCTGTGCGCCTCGCCCACGGCCCGCTTCGGCCACAGCCAGACGCCCGCGGCCTTCCTCAGCGCCCTGCTGCCCTCGCAGCCACCGCCGGTGGCTGTCAACGCCCTGGGCCTGCCCAAGGGCGTCACCCCCGCGTGAGTGACAGCCGCACACCTCCCCCCCCCCCGTTGCCCGCCCCACACACCCCTACCTTGGTGCGCCCGCTAAGCCACAACCCAGAGGTCGCGCTCTACCATTTTCGCGTCTTTCCTAAGGTCCAGTGTTTAGATTCTTGTCACGGCGGCTTTACCAGACTATTCTTGCTCAGCTTCTTTACCCGTTACCAAGATCAGTACTTAATCTTCTGCGTTAAACAGTAGAAGACTCGTCAGAAACTACCCAAAATCTATGCAGGGCTCTCAATAATTTTGCCGATAGTGGCGTTAGCTACCAGATAAGAGCGTCGTGCTAAGCAGTTCACGTATGTGACCGCATTTGATACACTCCTAAGAGGTATCACTGCCCCACTTACAGCTGAGGATTCCAGTAGTTAAAGAATTTGCTCGGGGTCACTGTAGCCACTCAACGGAGATTTGAATTCATGCCTGTCTGACTCCAAATCTTACCAACGAACCACGCATCTTAATCTCTCAGCTCAGTGTTATAATAACTGTGGAGGGGCTTGGTTATTAAGTATACATCTTATGTTTTTGAAATATCTAAATTAACAGAATTAAAAAGTAAGCCTTTACATATATGTAGTAATTGAGCAGAAGGAAAAAAGACACGTAAATGTCTTTGTGTTATCCATACAAGTAAGTGAGGACGGGTGCAGTCTAGTGAAGAAATGATGTACCAGTTCTGTCCCCGACTAACAGTAATCTCTAGGTGGACTACATGGATCCTCAGTCTCAGTTTTCCTGTTTGCAGATTATCTAAGTACTTGTCTTTACTTATGTCACAACGATGATGTGGCAGCCTTCTGAAGTCTTTAAATAGAAAACTCTATGAGGATACATAAGATGACATCTACAAAGTGCATTAAAGCCTTCAAAAGAAATCTGTCGTATAGGTGTTTGGCACATATTATTGATGACTAAAAGCTAGCACATACTCATTTTACTGAAGAGTTCAAAAACATGTGCGCATCAGCAAAGGTCAAGCCAAATTCCTCTATCTCTGAAATCAACTCTGAAATCCTACTTCAGAGTCTCCCAGAATCCAAATATTGTTCAGAGAGAAAAGAAAGAAATTCTACCAAAGAATAAAATGAAAAGACCTAAGAATTTAGGTTCTTTTCATTCGTATGAAAGGTTTCCCATTTGGGGATGTACTATACTACCTTAGAGATGAGCATTGTTATGCTTGACTTTGACAAGATGTATTGAGGAGCTTCTGTTAGCAATGTGTTGTTTTGACAGGCACTTCTAAATGTTGATTACATGAATTCTATATTTGAATCTGGCTTCTTCTCAAATCTTTATTGGAAAAAGCTCAAATGAATACATAAATAAGTAGAATAAAGGAGGTGAGTTTGTATAGTAATGTTGTGATAATGGGCTTCTACTGAAAGTTGAGTGACTCAACTTGGCTGAGAAAACTTGTTTTTCTCCTGTTTGTTGGTTTTCTTTGATTTGACTGCTAGGAAATGAAGTATTCTCTTGCCACAAAGAAGCTGTTAGATTCAAGAAGTGGGAATTTATTGCATGACACTGTTTTGTCCCTCTTACTAGGAAATGGTACCAAATCTTGCTTCCCAGGAAGATAAGCACTTATCTGTGTAATATTTCTCCTACTGAACAAAGACTAGACTATCAAAGGTGTTGGGTCGTCATGCCTTTTATCATCTTAAGTAGAAAGTTTTTTCTGATCTTTGAAATTCTCTTAAGAATATATGCAGTTCTAAGAGCTTACCTCAAGTAATAGAAGCATTTGTCTCTTATCTATCATAGTTATTAATTTTATGGGGTAAAATACTTTATAATTGTTACCACTAAAGAATCTAGCAGCTCCTGCCATTTCTTAAAAATGAATGGAGAAGTCATGCTAATTTTGTGGAAACTATGGAAAACCGTACCCAAAGATAGACACTGTGACACCAAAGGTAAATGGCCATATAGGCTGCAGATTTTTATCTCTGTGCCAGTCCAATAGGCCATCATTATATGGTTACCCTTTTGTCTCCAAGGAATTTTCCATTTGCTAAATCACACATACTTCAAGAATTCATTCTTCCGGTTTGATACATGTGACTTTTGGAACATGTTTCTCCTCTGGTATATTATGGGATCCTTCATTTGCGTTCTGAATTAAAAATGAAAAGATAGCTATTTTTCCATCATAATAATCCAACTGATTTGCCAAAGACCGAATGTCCCTGTTAGGGATGCCATGACTACAATTTATGGCATCCTTGAACTTGTAGGCACTGGCAAACTGTTGTCAAATGAATCTTTTAAATCACTTTCATTTATATTTCACTGTGAATTTGTGATTATGATAGCAAATTCATTCCACGTATATGTGTAATTTATCTGGTTGAATGGTTTTGCCATATTTGTCAAGTACCAGTAAACAGATTGATTACACATGACTCAGTAAGTAGAAATATGGCAAGTTGTTTTTTGATGTGTTTTTTTTTTTTTTGCCTGCCTTGTTTTATCAAAATCTTAAATATAAATGTCACTTATCTCAGTTTTCTTAATCATCAGTGGCATACTAGTTGTTTTATTCTGTTTGTATGTTTAACATTGTCCTCATTTCAATCCGGAAAAGGGTAGGCTGGTCATGCACTAAGTTTTTAAATAGTCCATGAAGATAAGGTACTATTTCTTACAAGTCTGGGTAGCAGAAGTCAGTCAGGGAACAAAGGCCATGGATGCCGGGGATATAGCACAAGGTCAAGAAGGCCAATGACAGTGAGCTGGACTCAGACTCACAGCAACACTATTTGGTTGTTGGTTGATTGTGGTTTGGGGAACTTCTGCACGTCCAGTTCCTCCAGTGCCTTTCTTCCTTCAGGCAGCTACATTCTTCCCCAGGATGACCGGGGTCACTAGCAGCTTCTTAAAGCGGTGGACAGACACAAATGTGAAGCTGACTAAATCTTTCAGATGGGGGCAGTGAGGAGAAAATGTGCCTTAGAAAGAAGCCTGTTTGCATTTCGATAAAATTCATGTATCCTGCTTGCCTCACAATTGCTGATAGTTAGGTTTACGGCTTCTGTTGCGGTCACCCTGTTCCTCTATGCAGTAGATCTCCTCCGAGATGGTGGGAATCCGGGGGATTTGGGAGTGCCCCCTGGGAAGAGTGCAGCAGTAGTGTGTCTGGGTGAATCAGATCAGAACTGTCCCCCGAGAACCAGATGGGCGCTGGTTGGCACTGTAGTTTTTGCCCACCTTCACATTCTTAGACTCTGTTCTCATAAGGGAGTGCCACAGAGCCACAGTGCTGCAATGTTTTATACTCTTAATTGCCTCTTCTGTATAAGTAGGCCTTTGGTTTGAAATGTTATCCCATGTTTGTCAAAAGGAAAAGCATGTGTCAATAAGAGCTTTTATATGGATGTATTCATGAGAGCTTTTATTCTTTAGGTACTCAGCTCTTCACAGACATTATCTCATTGTCCCTCTCTTTCTCCCTGATTTATAAGAAACAGGTAGGTGGGGACACTATCATCACTCTGCATTCAATGTGAGCATGCCAAGAGGCGAAGGGATTTCCCAGGGTTCTGGAATAAGCCTGAGCAAAGAGGGAGTCGCGTGCTTAACCTGGGTGTATTACCCAGGTTGATCTCCAACAAATCTGATTGTCTGCTATTTCTTGATCAAAGAAAACAGCTGCAAACCAACAAAACAGAATCCCCTAAGTCTTAAGGAAAAGTTCGTAAAGATTTATTTGTACTTTAGCCAGTTCTCAAGTCAAGACAGTGGTTAGATAGTAACTAACAGAAAAGACAAAAGCTGCATTGGCCTCCGCAGACATTATCTCAGTATTCCTGTCTTTCTCCGATCTTGCAGGAAATAGGTAGGTGGGGGGCCTCGTCCGTCGTTCCTTATCAGAGGCAGAGGCCTAAAGGGGTTTCGGGCCTCCCCAGGGTCTTGTTATTGGGTTCACTAGGATCTGAGAGGATTGCACAGAACGTTGCATCCAATCCTAGACAGCTGTTTTCTGGCAAATTAGCAAGTGAGCTCTCGGGGTCTGCTGTGACTGATGATGATTCCGTTGAAATGTCTGCCCCAGGAACAGGTCAGAATCAGACCTGCTCATCTTGGATGGCTTTGTACCAAGTAGTGGTACAGTGCACACACGTGTGTGAGTTTATTCTCTAGAGAAGCCAAAAGAGAATGTGAGAACTGAATGTATTTATAAAGGCATCTGTTTTCCTTTAGGTATGAGCTCAGGTTATCCAGTTGTACCCTAACAGCTTTGGCTTCAGTTAGAAAAAATAGAATTGATATACAAAAACTCAGTTTGTGTATCTTGGGCTCTTTTATGTATTAATTCACACATTACATTCTTGAACATGAGGGATTCCTGAATGCCAACATGTTAATGATTCTGCTTACTGTGAAATTTTGTGGAATTTAGTTACTATTAGCTATCACTGAATATGAGAGGAGAATAAGAGGACTTTCAGTAGTTAGAAAAATTCTTTGGTTGCTAGATAGGCACATTATCTCTTAAATTGGTGTTGTACTCTGGAGATCTGAGTTTCTGGAATACACTGATAAAATTGACCTAGAATAGTATATCAAGCACGGGATACTTTCAAGATTATTCAGTAGCCAAGGAAAAAAGAAAACCTTCTAGGATTTGGTGGTGGTTGCATCTGGAAGATTTTATCTTCCAGATGCATGTGTATATGTTTAAGATGTTTTTACCCCCAACCACCTGAATATTATTTTAAAATGGTAAGTGACTTATGGTTGAAGCTAGAGTAAACAGATCAGTAATATTTTTTGCAGAGTTGGGCTGAACTGTGTATACACTGAAGTATTTATATTCAGTGTGGGAGGTTTGTATGAATTGTTTACTAGTTGAGATCTGCTTCTGAGTATGGGTTTTTGTGAAGAGTTCTGGTTTTAGTAACAGTTTACTTTGAATTAGCATTTAAGCATTTTTATTTTTAATTGTACAGACCATCATGAAAGGA